GTTTATCTGCAGTTAGTTACACGAATTCAGTTATGGGATGAAATCAGATAGGGATGAACGAGTTTAAGAGTTTAAGAGTTTTTAAGAGTTTTAGTCAAATGCATTATAATATAGTATATATATATATATATATATATATATATATATATATATATGTGGAAGTATTCTTTCACATGTTTCTTTGACTAATATTTGTTATTTTAGTTGACATGTTTACACTCTAATTAATTCCATTTGTTTATTACAATAGACATAAAAAACTAGTGGCCCATTTGCTATATATTATGCATTAATTTATATCTATCTATATAAAATCTAGAAAACAGGCATCTACCAACTACAATTATCTCTTACTTGACTTGTTCATCTTCTTTAGTGGGAACCCTTCTCTCAATCCAAATCTTACAAAAATATGTGTGAAACTTCCTGCGATTGTTCTCGACTAATTACTTTTTCATAAAACAAATATTTTGACAGCTTGTTTATGCATTTAAAAAAGCATCCATGAATGATTCCTGTAGAAAGGGGTGTAATCTATCCATTCTGACACACAAATACAAGTCGTCTTCTTTTAAGGGAAGAGGCCACCATTTCTGACATGCCAAGTCTTGGGTTGTTGAGGCATTGGTCTGAATTTCTGAATGTTTTTGCTTTCTTTTTGTTAGCCACCATTGTTGTTGCTGATAAACCTTACACTTATAATTCTCCACGCCCTTACGGATGGAGGCTGCCACCACCGGTGAAGCATGCATGCATGGCCAAAGTCACCTTATATATGTCTACAAGTCTCCCGTGCCACCACCACCATTGAAGGAGCACACATGGCCTCCTCATCTACCTTCTCTTCACAAATCTCCTCCTCCTCGTTACATTTACAAGTCGCCACCTCCTCCTTCGAAATCTCCTCCACCAATATACGTTTAATTGATTATTAGAAAACAAAGGTTTTTAACATATTGTTAAATATTATTATATACAAATCCTTTGAAATACCTTGAAATCCCAATCATTCCCATGAGATTTTAAGATCCTATTCAAATTTCATATTCGAGCCATCCCGTAAACCAAAATAAAATTGGAATAGATTTGAATTATAAATCATTTCCATTCCTGCAAATAAAAGAGGATCTTAGTAGTTATTTGCAAGGGGAGGAGGAAGATCTCCA